CTCCACTCCACTCCAAGCTAGTCACCAATACACTTTAGCTAGTCTCCCATACGACAATAGCTAGTCTCCCATACTACACTCCACTCCAATAGCTAGTCTCCCATACTACACTCCACTCCAAGCTAGTCACCAATACACTTTAGCTAGTCTCCCAAGCTAGTCTCCCATACTACACTCCACTCCAAGCTAGTCACCAATACACTTTAGCTAGTCTCCCATACGGTGTGAGCTAGTCTCCCATACGGTGGAGGCCAATACATACACTTTAGCTAGTCTCCCAAGCTAGTCTCCCATACGGTGTGAGCTAGTCTCCCATACGGTGGAGGCCAATACACTTTAGCTAGTCTCCCATGCGGTGTGAGCTAGTCTCCCATACGGTGGAGGCCAATACACTTTAGCTAGTCTCCCAAGCTAGTCTCCCATACGGTGTGAGCTAGTCTCCCATACGGTGGAGGTTAGTCTCCCAGGCAAGGTAATAATGCTTCACTTAAAATTCAAACTTAGAATCATTTGGCATAGCTTACACGCATTTCTTCCAACTCCTCTAGCATGGTTCTTGGTGACTTATCCGCATCATAATTGTGTTAAGCTATAATCCCGCTTAACTTCTTCAAACAAATTATGATCTTCCAGACTTGTGCATGGGTTACATGATATGGGTGCACCATACTCCGTAGACTTAAACTGACTCAAATAGAATAAAAAAAGGGGACTACTTGATTTTTCAAAAATACATTCGACTCATCAAAATTTACAATATATTCTTAACACTTCCATATTCCTTCAGTTGTATTGATCCAGAGAACACTGCTGGCTATAGTCGGGGATAGGGCTCTCAAGATCCAGGAGAGCAGCATTGTGTTGCATCGATCCCAGTAGTCAAATTTAGGATCCAATTTGCTTGGAGCAGGTACAAACCCTTCAACAAATGTCATCTTGTTCTTGGACATCAATCCCATTTCCATGGCTCTTGCCCAGGAATGGTAGTTCGATCTCCCCTCCAATTGAGTCGTCACCAACTGTAAGGTAGGGGTCTCATTCGCGTGAAGGTGGAGAGGGTTCGTCTGGTCATTAGGATCGAAGTTTCCATTGACACTGGAGCTTGAACCGTGGAAAGTATTAGGGGTTTGATTCTGATTCTGATTGGAAACTGGATTTGTATTTGTGACTGGAATTCCTTGCTGAACCATGTTCACAATTGGTGGACGCCACGCCATTGAGGCTCTGATACCATATCAGGAAAGGAAACAACGGGAATAAAAGAAAGGAAGAAGATGGAGCTTGATTGAAGAAGAAGATGATTACTGTTACATTGAGCAGAGATTGTTGTGTTCTGTTATATCTAGTTCTAGCTAGTACAGAGGGAAAAGGAGATTACAAATGTTTTCTACAACTAACTCTAAACTAATCTTTAACAGAATCAACTGGTGTTAGTTGTGTAAGATGATGACTTGGCTACTTAGGGTTGTTTGCTATCTGTTGATAATGCTAATCTTCATATAGAAGATCAAGATGATTGTGAGATTGGAAAGAATTTAAATGATAATGTGCACAATGATGATAGGTATCACTGTGACAATGAAAATAATAAAAATGTTGATAGTTGTTTAGATGATATTGGTCACAGTGATAAACCAAATGATTCGCTTTTATTTGACATATATGATCCAAGAAATTGGGATGCCCTTAATCAAAATGAATAGATATTCTTGTGAAAGATGGTCCTAAAAGAGATTTATTAATAAATAAAGGTCCTAAAGATAAATTCTCTAGAAGATTTTCATCAGCATTTTACACAAGATATTTGCCAAATGGAGAAAAATGTGATCGAGATTGGATTATATATTCAAAAGAACTTGACAATGTGTTTTGTTTTTTTTGCAAGATTTTAAAAAAAAAGTACAGGAAAATGTGTTTTGGTGAATGAAGGTTTTATGGACAGGACACATCTTGGTGTTAGACTTAAAGAGCATTAAACGAGTGTAGATCATATAACTAATATGACAACTTGGATGGAGTTGCGTCTTAGATTACAATATTTATATTTTGACTTTTTGACACAGCTTTTTAAACAACTATTATTTATATATAAAAATTACTTGAAAAAAATGAGGTCCAAATCAAAATATTGCACAGAGACACAGTTTCTATTGGGACGACTCTGCATCTGAGCACAAGGAACTTGATAGTAATCGAATTCAAATATCCATTAAATCAAATTCAAGTAGGTTGATTACTTACCTCTCTAGTCTTGTTAATTAAATCGTACGAGAAATGGAGTTTAAAATTGCATGTTTAGGTTTATGTAAAAGTAAAACAAAGGGTGAGCATTACCATGCACTTTATTCATGGAGTGTACGCAAAGAAAGGTTTAGTCTTTAATCCATGAGGCAAGCCCCAGAAACGATGGAATTCCATATGCTCAGGGCCGTATTTTAAATTTTGGTGGCCCTGTTCTGGTAAATAAATGTGGCCCTACCAAAATCACAATTTTTAAAATCAATACATGCAAGTTTCGAACCTTTGACCTCCAAGTTAAAATACAATAAATATACATTTTTACCATCTCTTCATAGAACCTTTTAAGTTTAATTGAAAACTCTTAATTTTTATTTCTAAACTAGCTAGGTAAAAATTAAATATTGGACCTATAAAATTTGGGGCCCCTCTAAAATTGGGGGCCCTGTGCGGTAGCCCAGCTTGCACAGCCTAAAATCCGGCCCTGCATATGCTTTCCCCCACCCCCCACATTTCACGGCTGTAATTTTTGGCTGACGGTTTGACCTTGATCTTCAGGTCAACCGTAGAATATCTCTAGGAATAAACACCACCTTAGATGTCAATGCAGCATAAAATGTTACATCGTCAAGTGTCAACAAGTCTATCTTTGAGACCAATGATTCAGTAGGCAGTATTTGAATTTAGAGAAGAGACTAAGATTCGAATCTCAACGGTGACAGTGTGGGATTGTGCCTAAAGTGGACAAATCCCTTTGCTCCCAAATGCTCTGTTGGGTCAGGATGTGAAGGGTCCTTTGAGGGTAGGTTAGGGATTCAACCTTTTGGGAGAAGTCTATCTTTGAATCTAATTAGGGCAACTTGATTGGTGTGAACAGTTTTACACTCTCATCTTTTAAGAAAGTCATGAGTTTAAACACTATCTTGTATGAAAAAACTAATATGACGAGCACTTTACGAGTGTGGGACGCCCTTGAGGTTGGGGATTCAACCTTTTGGGAGAAGTTTATGTTTAAATCTAATTAGGGCATGAAGATAACCAACTTGATTGGTATGAGGAATTATACGCTCTCATCTTTTAAGAAAGGCCGGGAGTTTAAACACTATCTTGTATGGAAAATTAAAACTAATATCACCAGCACTTTGCCCGTTAATTGGGTTGGCCTTATGAGAATGTAAATTAATTTAAGTATAGTATGAATTTAAATGTACCTCCTATGTTTTCAAAAAAAAAAAAAATGTACCTCCTATAGTTGGGGTTTACTCAAGACATCTCGTGATTTGACAAAAAATTAGAGTAGTGCAATTTTAATTGGGTCTTGGTTATTTAATGTACCATCGCAGCGCAATTAGCTAAGGCTTAACCTAGCTACTATACACAATGATCATAGTTGATAGACTAAAAGTATCATTTTTATTAAACTTAGGATGTGTTTGGTTCAAACATGGGAATTAGAATCAGAATCGGGATGAGAATCAAATACTTAGTAATTCAATTTAAATATGTTTTGGTGAAAGTATTTTACATGCTAGAATTTAATTGAATGATTAATTGATTACCAATATTGTTGTTTATTTATGTATGATCTTATAATCGGAATAAAGATTTTTTATTTTTTTTTACAAAAATAAAAGTTCAAGCAATTGATCTTAATATGATGGCATCCAAAGTACAAATATGAACAAAAAATTAAATAAAAAAAATTTAAAAAACACTAATCCAAACAAATTAGGTAACAAGGAGAAATGATGATGTTGAATTAATATAATGGGATAATATATACCTGATTTAAATTAGGTAATTAGTGTTTGTGTGTGTGTTTTTTTTTTAAACGTAGGTGATGATCACCATATATTGCTGAATTAATCCTAAGCCCATAGACCCTAGTCCTAGAGTCATTACCAAAGTAATGTGTTATTTTAATTATAGGGATATTTATACCTTTATTTTAAAAAGTTGTTAATCAAAGTACGACTTTCTTTCTCATTCTTTGTTGCTAACCCCATATGCTAAACACACCCTTATATATTCTCTCTTAATTTTTAAGATAGGACAGACTGATTCAATATTCAATCAACACATATAAAAGAAAATAGGAATTCTTACGTCATCAATTTATAAAAAATTAATTAAATGCATGATGCACGATTACATGCTAGTAGCTATTAAAACTTTATCCCGCACTAAGTGGCCTAGTGGATAGAGCATGACTCTTGTACATAAATATTAGGATTTTGATTGTTACCAACACCCTTTTGATCGAGCTTAATGCTTAACTTACCTCTCCTTTGTAATTTATAGACTATTATACATGTTCGCGATTTACCTAGTTAAACACCCTAGAAACAATCTCACCAAAAAAAAAAATATGATGAACAAACCAATGTCCCATAGAAGGGAAGCTGTCCAGTTTGATTGATTCCATGCACTTTAATTGTTACATGCATTATGGATACTAGCTACCATAATATGCACATAGTAAATGGGAGAAGATGAAACATAGAAAAGATTTTCAAGAAATTAAATGCACACATATATGAGTGTGTGTGTGTGTATATATATATTGCGTAAAGAAACTCAACCACAAAACAGGACCCGTTAACATCATCATCATCATCATCATATCTGTCCTCCATTTCATTTCTTTCGTTGGATCTTTAACCTTAACATCTCTTCAATCTTCACCATCATCTGTATATATGTATATACGCCGATATATATGATCGACCTAACAACGAACCAGTCAGCTACTAGCTAGCTAGCTAGGGTTTCTTGGCATTAGAAAGATCACAGAAGAAGGTGACGGAATTTGGGTAGGTGTTATGGCACGGCGACGACCCAGACGGCGGCACAAAACCCTTGGGAAGCATGGCCGAGAAAGCCCTTGCCGCCGCAACTCTCGACGACGATGATGATGGGTAGTAGTACTTGCTGGTCCTCTTCTTCTTCATGGTTAGTCTCCTTTTCTTGGCCTTCTTGAAGAATCTTGAAGCCGCTCCATTTTCCGCCTGGTTCGGGAAACGTGGAATAAGAATGTTATCGGAGTGGTTGGTGTAATGGAGGAGAGAGTGGGCTTCTTGGGGAACAGAAGAAGAAGAAGAAGAAGAAGAAGAAGCAAAGGAGACGACGATGCAGAGAAGGAGAAGGAAGAGGAAAGAAGTGAAAAGGGTTTTCAACATCATAAGATAATTGCAGGTTCAGAGAGAGAAAGGGAGAGAGGGAGAGATGGAGTGAAATGAAATTTCTAATTTTTGGGAATGAGGGAGGAGGGATGGATGAAGAGATTAATTGAAAAGTGTGAATAATTATATTAAATTAAATAGGCCAAGTAATTAAGTTGCATGGGCTCGTGGGGATGTCAACATTCCGTGGAACATCCATGCCATTTTAGATCCGAAATGTAAGAATTCAGAAACCAATATAATGATACATACACCACTCTCCTACCTACCTACCTACCTACCTCTACCCATCACCCTGCTAATATCTCTTAGGATTTTGCCTATGCATGGGATTGATAGGAGTTGTTGGTTGCGGCAATAGCATGGGTGGCATACGGACGTGCAGCGTTTGAATCTTATTTCCTAGCTAGCTGAGTTCATTCTAAGTACTACATCTATCAATTTACACCGTATGTATTCCCATAACAATTAATCAACTATTTATATTAGGGTGAATCAACGATTTGGTCCCTCACTTATTCGCGACTTGTCAATGTTGTCCCTGAATCACGTATTCATCGATTTAGTCCCCGAAAATAATTGTTTTTCGTCAAATCAGTCCCTATGGCCGTATTCCGTCAAGTCTCAGGCGAGAGCTCCGATTTTCCCTGGGCATTTTGGTCTTTTCACGCCTTCTTCTTCATTAACTCTTACCAAACTTCGCCGGAGAAGCTCAAGCTCACCGGAGGGAGCTCCATCTCTTCCGCCGACGTCAGCTGCACCTCCGATGGCTTGCCTAATTAACACCTATGGCGTTATGAATCAAATCCAATGGTAAACAAGGAGAATTCTTCCATTCCTTAGCATGCAATTTGAGAATCTCAGCAAACAACCCTTTTCTGCCGTATCTCTCCATCTTAGCTCTCTCTCTCGTTCCTCTCCTCCGACGGCGAGCGCCGGCGATCCCCCGGCAGATCACGGCGACAGGCGGCGGCTAGCTCCGTCTCTCTTCTCTCTCGATAAAAGCTGAGCAACAACCAAACAAATCCCTATCTACCTCTCGTCTCTCCCTTCTTCTCTCGGCTAACTCACGTACGGCTTCAACATCCGACGGCGAGACAAGGTCCATGGACCTACATCTCCCCTCCCTCTCTCTGGTGGAATCACGAAGAGGCGGAAGCAGCAGATCGGAGCAGCGACCTCCGCCCCACTTTCTTTTCCAGCGAAGCAAATAGATCGGCGGCGGCGTGGCAAGCTTAGCTTCATTTTTCCGGCGACCCTTGCTCAAGAGATGGCGGCGGCGACCTCCACTTTTCCCGGCGAGGAGAGACGGAAGTGGTGGGTCCCTGGCAGTTGATCCCTTCCAACGAAGCAGCAAACCGGCACCACGACTGGATGACTCGCCGAAGAGTGACGTTTGGGGTCAACAACTCATCATCGGAGGTGAAGCTGACGTCGGCGACGATGGAATGAAGAAGAAGGCGTGAAAAGACCAAAATGCCCAGGGCAAATCGGAGCTCTCGCCTGAGACTTGACGGAATACGGTCATAGGGACTGATTTGACGAAAAACTATTATTTTCGGGGACTAAATCGATGAATACGTGATTCAGGGGCAACATTGACAAGTCGCGAATAAGTGAGGGACCAAATCGTTGATTCACCCTAAATTTAATTACATGTTAAGAGAATTGAAGAATCAGCCGGGTATGTTATTTGCGTCAATTGCGTGCTGCATGCTGAGATTTGTGTCAATTTTATTTTTTTGAAAAATAATATTGGCCAGATATTAAAATCAACCAAAACTTGATATCAAGTACAAAAATACAAAAATTCTGATGATGAATTGTTGATCAAACTACAGAATGAAAGAATAATCATGGAAGTTGAACCTGTAGTGTAGACGGTGTAGAGTTGTACTGTTGTTCGATCACTTCGATGCTGGAAAACGCCAAATCGCCAATTAATTAGGCTTGCGCATTGCGTTGAGGAAGGTTGATCGAACTACGGACTACGTTTAGTCGGTTAAGGAAATAGACTAATAGGGTTCGAATTTCAAAATTGAGACTGCGCTGATCAAACAATGTATCACTATATATACTGTATTTTTTTTTTAGTTATGGCCGGGGCTACCAAATTTTGGGGGCCTTTGACCGTCTGAATCCTAGTGACATGTTATTGTAGGTCATTAATCAGTTTTTAAACCTTGATGCATTAACTTGACATGTTTATGTATTTAATTGTAACTTTCAAAAGTGTGGGGATCTAATTGACTTCTCGTATAAAGTTTGATGATGTATTTGACCCTTTTCAATATTGAAAAGTCACCATAAACATCAAGTGGAGCCCAATTGTAGATTTGGGGGGCGGGGGCGGGGTGGGGGCCGGGGCATAGATCATCATATGTGGTTTGATATTTTATTTGTTATTAACATGGATCAAATAGGTGTAAAAATAAGATTTTTTTAGAAATATAGAAATGAAGGTGATGGATTTAATTAACCCGGGGTAGACCCGAATCAATAAATCCGGATAAGAATATAATAAGAATAATAAACGAATAATATAGAACGATGTCGTAAAGGTCGCTGGGGACCGTATATTATATTAATTGCCGTAGTATTTGGCTATTACAAAGATCCGATAGAACAAAGTGTGTAATAAGTGTAGAATATGTAATGAATCGCCCCTTGTTAGGACAAGGAGGGGGATTTTTATACAAGCTAACCCCCCAACCGCCTCCCCCTAAATCGGGGAGTGGTTAGATCTCAACTTTGACTGGGTCCGGGTGGACCGGGTCGGGTCGGGTCCCGAGCTCGGGTGGTGCCGAGCTCGGGAAAGACCGAGCTCCCCGACCCGAGCTCCACGGAGGTCGGCTCGGGTCGGGGCACCTCTGTGGTGCCCCGGGTCCGCGTTGCTCTCGGGCACCTCCATGGTGCCCCGGGTCCGTGTTGCTCTTGGGCGCCTCCGTGGTGCCCCGGGTCCGCGTTGCTCTCGGGCACCTCCATGGTGCCCTGGGTCCGTGTTGCTCTTGGGCACCTCCGTGGTGCCCCGGGTCCGTGTTGCTCTCGGGTTCCACCAAGGTGCTCCGGGTCCGTGTTGCTACCCCTGGTCGGGTCGTGGGTATAATATATCCATCATGAGTCCCCCACTCTCTTCGTTGCGATTAGGAGTCAACGAATGAGAGTATCCGTGCACCGACCCGAGCCCCCCAGGTGGAAAAATCCGAGCTCCAAATTTTAGCCGAGGTGCCTTATGCCAAAGCGTCTTGGACCGAGGTGCCTTGGGTCGAGGTGAGACGTCTTGGGCAGCTCCACCTCCTTGCTCCGTGCCTTCCTCACGCACGTGGCCCGAGCTCAAAGTTTCCGACCTTGTTCTCCCTTGGTGATGTACTAGACTTGTTATTTTGACTACCCAGGTAGCACAAACTTGTTCCTTCCTTTGCCATGTGCTAGACTTGGATATTTTGACTATTGCTCCTTTGCTTTGGTGACATGATGGTTGCCACCTTTTACCTGCTACTACCTTTCTTTGGGATACTTGCGTTTTTTTTTTCTGGCCACCCCGGCACCAGCTGAGGTGGACCTCAGCAGCTCGCCGAGGTGGACCTCGGCTGCACGTCAAGGTGGACCTCGGCTGCACGCCTAGGTGGGCCTCGGCAGCTCGCCGAGGTGGGCCTCGCCGTGCTGCCGAGGTGCTGCTACTTTTTTTTTTTTTTTTTTTTGCCATGTGTTAGCCTCTTCGACAAAGTCCTATGGGACTATGTCATCGGGCTCTTCCGTCGGGGTTGGTACGCGAGGCCGGACCTCGTGCCCCCTTAGCATACGTTAGCCTCTCGGGCTAAGTCCTTCCGGACTACGCCACCGGGCTCTTCCGTCGGGGTTTGTACGCGAGGCCGGACCTCGTGCCCCCTTAGGGTGTGCCAAACTGCTTGGGCCCAGTCCTGTCGGACCAAGCCACTGGGCTCCTCCGTCAGGGTTTGTACGCGAGGTTAGACCTCGTGCCCCCTTAGGGTGCGCGTTAGCTGCTCGGGCACAGTCCCACAGGACTGTGCCACCGGGCTCTTCCGTCGGGGTTGGTACGCGAGGACGGTCCTCGTGCCCCCTTAGGGTGCGTCCTCCGTCGGGGTTAGTACGCGAGGCCGGACCTCGTGCCCCCTTATGGTCCGCGGGGGGGGGGGGGGGGGGGGAAGACATTAGTGGGCACTCGTTCCCCCCCGTTTCATGATTTTTTCCTTTTTTTTTTTTAAGGAAGAGAAAATGCATGAGAACCAACTTTGTAACAAAAGGTCCTGCGCACAGTGTATTTCGTCACATGCGATTTTATTCGGGCTACTACCACTCACTAAGGCATTATTGGGGGAAGGGAACGGTCCTCCTCCTAGAATAGCAACGCTAAGACCCACCTTTCGCGTGGTAGGTCTACTGGTAAAATTTCAGCAGATGTTCTGAGTTCCAGACCCTTGCCATCATCTTTCCTTTGGGAGTTTGGAGCTTGTAGCTACCCGGGCGGACCACGGCTGCTATAATGTATAGGCCCTCCCAATTAGCGGCAAACATTCCTTCGGCTTGTGGCTGGCTCGCCTCCCTCCTCCTGAGCACATAGTCACCCACTTGAAAATAGCGGGGTCGGACCCGCTTATCGTGGTATGCTTTGGTCTGCCTCTGGTAATTTTCAGCTCGGATCGCAGCTGCTTCGCGCCTGTCATCAATCAGGTGGAGGTCAATTCTTTGGTACTCCTCGTTCGTGTCAGGGTCGTAGTCCTCCTCCCGCCGGGAAGGTATGACTACCTCCGCTGGAGCTCGGGCTTCGAAACCGTAGGCTAAGGAAAAAGGTGTCTCCCAGTAGCCCTCGGGGGGGTGGTGCGGTAGGCCCAAAGAATGGCGTCGAGCTCCTCCACCCACGGTCCCCCCGCGGATTCCAGTTTCTTTTTCAGGCCGCCCACAATGGTGCGGTTGGCATTTTCCACCTGGCCATTTGCTTGAGGGTAGCACACGGCCAGCCGGCTGTGAGTAATGTGACATTCTGCACAGAACCCCTCGAACTCTTGCCCCTCGAATTGGCGTCCGTTGTTAGTGATGAGTTGCATCGGGACCCCAAAACGGCACAAAATGTTTTTGTACACAAAGTGCTTGCAACGGGCACTTGTTATGGTTGCTAGCGGTTCCGCCTCTACCCACTTGGTGAAGCAGTCTACTGCTACTATGAGGTACTTCCTTTGTCCCGACCCCATGGGCAGAGCTCTTACTAGGTCCACTCCCCACCTGGAGAAGGGGATGACGGAGCTGATGGGGGTGTAGCTCGTGGTTGGCCGGCCGGGGGCGACTTGGAAGTGTTGGCAGGTCTCGCAACTCTGGGCGTAGTCAGCGCACTCCTTGGCCATTTTGGGCCAAAAGTACCCGTGTAAGATGGCCCTCCAGGACATGGCAAAGGCCCCCTGGTGAGCTGAACAAGTGCCTTCGTGGATTTCTTCCATGACTGACCTGGCTTCGTCTGGGTACAAGCAGCGCAGTAAGGCGCCGTTATAGGACCTCTTGTAGAGTGTGTCCCCCATGACCACGTACGTGGGGGCTCGCCGTTTCACCAGCTTGGCGTCGACCTCGTCGGGAGGTAGCGTACCTGTCTTCTTGTACTCCTTGAGGTGGTCCAACCAGCAGGGAGGTCGGATATGCACGGGTAGGACCGGGTAGGCGTCTAGGCTCGACCTCTTGAAATCTTCAATTCGGGCTATTTTTTAGATATGTTCCTGGGCCCCTTGGGCGAGCTTGGATAACATGTCATCATCTGTATTCTGGTCTCGGGGTACCTGTAGGACCTCGTAATTGATCAGCTGCCCCAGTAGCTGGAGCACCACGTCCCGGTACCTCCCCATTCTCTCATCACTTGCTTCAAATTCACCTGTGACCTGTCCCACCACGAGTCTAGAGTCACATCGGATTTTGAGCTTCTCCACCCTCATATTTAGTGTGAGGCGGAGCCCCCCCAGGAGTGCCTCATACTCGGCCTCGTTGTTGGATAATTTGAACGCGAAGCGGAGGGCGTAGTAGGCCCGAAATCCCTCCGGTGTTATGAGGACGACTCCACCCCCGCAGCTTTTGGTGCTGGAGGACCCGTCCGTTGAGAGGGTCCACCACTCATTGTCTTCGTCCCAGACCCGCTCCGTTGCCTCCCGAGCAGTGCACTCGACTATAAAGTCAGCCAGCGCTTGCCCCTTAATGGCGGGTCGGGGCTTGAACTGGATGTCGAACTGGCTCAGCCGCATGGCCCACCTGACCAACCAGCTAGCCGACCCCGAGGCCCTCAGTACTGGGTCTAGCGGTTGGTTGGTGAGGACCTGCACGAGGTGGGCCTGGAAGTAGTGGTTCAGCTTCTTTGCCGTCACATCTACCGCGAAAATGGCCTTTTCCACAGGTGTGTACCTGATTTCCGCTCCCCGTAGAGCTCGACTCATGTAATATATGGGCCGCTGGACCCCCTCATCGTCCCGGACCATCACGGAGCTGACCACAGCCTGCGAGATGCCCAGGTATAGATATAGGACCTCCCCCTTAACGGGTTTGGCCAGGGGGGGAGCGACATCAGGTACGTCTTGAGGTCTTCGAACGCTTTCTGGCACTCTTCGGACCACTCAAAGCCCTTAGTCTTTTTGAGGACTCCAAAGAACGCCAAGGACTTCTCGGCCGACCTCGAAAGGAAACGGCCCAGGGCTGCCAATCGCCCGTTGAGGAGCTGGACCTCTCGGAGGGACCTCGGAGGTTCTATGTCCAGGATGGCTTTGACCTTATCGGGGTTGGGCTCAATGCCCCTCTTCGAGACCATGTACCCCAAAAATTTCCCCTCGTGCACCCCGAAGGTACACTTTTTGGGGTTCAACCGTAAATTGAAGCGTTGCATAATTGAAAATACCTCGGTAAGGTCATCTGTGTGGAGGTCGGCGTCGGTGCTCTTAACGATCATGTCGTCGACGTAGGCCTGGAGGTTGCGGCCGAGGACCTGCTTGAACACCTTGGCCACCATCCGGGTGTAGGTGGCACCCGAATTTTTCAGCCCGAAAGCCATGGCCTTGTAGCAATAGACCCCCTCTGGCGTGGTGAAGGCCGTCTTCTCCTTGTCGGCTTCCTCTATGGAAATTTGGTGGTACCCCCTGAACGCGTCTAGGAAGCTCATAAGGGCACAACCTGCAGTCTCGTCCACCAGCTGATCGATGTTGGGGAGGAGAAAGGGGTCCATAGGGCAGGCCTTATTGAGGTCGGTGTAGTCCACGCACATCCTCCAGGTGGGCCGCTTTGGGGCGAGGACTACGTTGGCCAGCCAGGTGGGGTATATGACCTCCCTAACATGACCAATCTCCAGCAGTGTGTCGACCTCCTTTTTAACGAACTCCCTCCTCTCGGCGGAGAGGTACCTCTTGCGCTGCTGGATTGGCCTGACCGTGGGGTCGACGGCCAACTTGTGTGTGATCACGTCTCGGCTGAGGCCCGGCATATCCTCGGGACCCCATGCAAAGACCTCCTTGTAGCTCCTGATGGTGTTAATTATCCGTGCCTGGAGCTCGGCCGGGAGGCCGACCCCTACCTTCACAACCCGGTCGGGTCGGCTGAGGTCGAGGATGACCTCCTCTGTCTCGACCACGGGCTCGGTCCGAGGTCGACCTACCTCCTCCCGAAATTCCTTCTCGCTGATGGTATGTACCTGGAGGTCCTTTTGATCAATCTGGCGACACGCCTTCAAGTAGCAGCTGCGGCTTACCTTTTGGTCCCCTCGGGCGACCCCGACCCCGGCTGGTGTCGGGAACTTGAGGTACATGTGCTCCATGGAAATTATGAACCTGAGGTCTTCTAGGGCGGGTCGACCGAGTATGATGTTGTGGGCGCAGCTGGTTTTCACGACTACGAACTCGACCTGGTGCCTATCTCCACCTCCAAATTGATCGACCCCTCAGTTGTCTTCTCCTCCTCCTCGGAGCTGTGGTCGTGGTGGTCCCTCTTACGGGGAGCCGAGGTGGATGGCGCCTGGCCACCCCCCTTCCTCCATACATTGCCCTGCTTCTGGCCCTGTGCCTCTCCTTGCGCCTGGCCGGGCTTCTTAATGAACTGGCCGAGGTAACCCATTTGGATGAGCTCCTCGATTTGTCTCTTTAGGAGGATGCATTCGTCTGTGTCGTGCCCCTTCTGTCGGTGGAACCTGCAATACTTGTTGGTGTCCCCCCTTGCCGATATTTTCATGCACTCCTCCTTTGGGAATACCACGATTCCCTGGTCCTCCGCGTGCGCCAAGATGGTACCCACAGGCTGTGTCAGCGGGGTGAGATAGCGTGTGGGGTTCAACCTGGGCCCCTCAGCGTACTCATGTCGGTGTGGCCGCGGCGCCTTGCGCTCCTCCTGGGGTGCCTTGTCTTTTCGACCCCTTCCTTCCTCCTGCTCGTTCTTCCTCTTCTCGGCAGCCTCGGCGTCAGCATACCTTGCTGCCTTGTCTATCAGGTCGGTATAGGTCCTGGGGGGGGTACCTGATGAGGTCCTGGTGGAATGCGCCCGACCTCAAGTTGTTTCGGAAAATCACCATGGCCGACTTCCCATCAAAGTTGGCGACCCCCATGGCCTCTTTCTTCCATTTGCTGAGGTACTCGGCTAGTGATTCTGAGCTCCCCTGCTTCAAATCACATAGGTCGGCAATTTGCCTCTTCCGCTGTATGCTGGTAGCGAAATGGGATAGGAACTGCCGGGTGAGATCCGCGAAGGTGGAGATGGACCCCGCCGGGAGGGATCCGAACCAGTCATGCGCCTGCCCGTCCAGGGTGGCGAAGAAACCCCTGCATAAGATGGCGTCCGTCGCCTCGGTGATCATCATGGCGGCCCTGTACCTGGTGAGGTGTGCCCGCGGGTCCGTGGTCCCCGAGTACGCTTTAATGGTGGGAAAGCGAAAATCTCGAGGTAAGGGCTCCTCCATGATGGCGTTTGCGAACGGGGAAGACAGCACATCCTGGGGCTCTGGAGACCCGTCCCTCTCGTCGATCTTCTTCTGGAGCTCGTCCATCCTCCTCCTCAACTACTCGACCTCTCCTCGATGGGGGCTCGGAGCTCTGCTATTCGTTTCACCCGATCGTTCGACCCGGGAGGCCTGTTTATGCCGAGGTTGGGCTTGGGCTCCCCGACCTGGTGACCTCTGTGAGCCTGCCTCTCGTCGCGGCTGGGCTCGGGGTCCATGGCTTGGCGACCTCCGGGTGGCTGATTGTCGTCGTGCCTGCCTGCGGGAGCAGGATTCTGCTGGTGGAGGCTCATTAGCGACAGGCCATGGGCCCAACCTCTCTCGGGCTGGCACCCGGCTGCCCAACCTCTCCATGGCGGGCCTGGTTTGGTTCAACCTCTTTCTGTCGTCCTCCTGACGTCGGTCACGTCGTGAGTCCCCTCCTCCCCGGGTGTCCGTCCGGTGGGGTGAATTGACCTCGCCCTTGGGTGACAAGTGCCTGGGGTGGCCGGGTAGACCACTGGATATAGAACACGCTTGAGCTGGTACAGCAGCTCTCAACAAAAGCACCAATGATGGATTTAATTAACCCGGGGTAGACCCGAATCAATAAATCCGGATAAGAATATAATAAGAATAATAATAGAATAATATAGAACGATGTCGTAAAGGTCGCTGGGGACCGTATATTATATTAATTGCCGTAGTATTTGGTTATTACAAAGATCCGATAGAACAAAGTGTGTAATAAGTGTAGAATATGTAATGAATCACCCCTTGTTAGGACAAGGAGGGTGGTTTTTATACAAGCTAACCCCCCAACCGCCTCCCCCTAAATCAGGGGGTGGTTAGATCTCAACTTTGACCGGGTCGGGTCGGGTCTCGAGCTCGGGTAGGACCGAGCTCCCCGACCCGAGCTCCACGGAGGTCGGCTCGAGTCGGGGCACCTCCGTGGTGCCCCAGGTCCGCGTTGCTCTCGGGCACCTCCATGGTGTCCCAGGTCCGTGTTGCTCTTGGGCGCCTCCGTGGTGCCCCGGGTCCGCGTTGCTCTCGGGCACCTCCATGGTGCCCCGGGTCCGTGTTGCTCTTGGGCACCTCCGTGGTGCCCCGGGTCCGTGTTACTCTCGGGTTCCACGAAGGTGCTCCGGGTCCGTGTTGCTACCCCTGGTCGGGTCATGGGTATAATATATCCATCAGAAGGGTTTGTTTCTAGTATGAATATTGCCAAAAGTATTTCATGTGTGAGATGAACATAGATCCCACATTTCCAATTAGATGTCATACTATTAGGAAAAAGAATTTGACGAAAATGATCACGGAGAGGAAATGCAGTCACAAGAGTCCTTTAGAGTTAATTATTGGGGTGTTTGAAAATGACGGATTAGCCCAAGTTTGGCTTGTTTGACTAGTCAAATACATAATATGAGTGTTCGGTAAATAGTTTTTTAGTTAAGTTTATTGATGCTAATTAGCTGAAAATGAAAAAGTACTTTGAGTAGCTAATATCATTAATATAAGCTTATTACGTTTTAATTTTAAAAGTCTAATTTACTCTGTAAAATCCCCGATTTTTCACAACTTTTTAAACCCAATTAAAGCTTAATAAAGAGATAAAGTCTACTCATCAAGATTAAAGTAAAGCGGAAGCTAAAAGACAAGTACGGGAGGTTATGCCACACCTATACATCTATAGGTGCACAGGCTAAGTCTAAACAACACATCAAAGTCAAGATTATAAATATCCACGGCTCACAGGCCAAAAGTCTAACAAAACAGTCATATGGAGCTACACTAACTAACTAACTGCTAGCGCGCTCTCCCATAATGCTACTCAAAACTTGTAAGGCAACATAAAGATAGGGGATGACACCTGGTCAACGAACATTCCTGGTAACCCATCAATACACGTTAAGTAGCATATATAAATAGTATAAGTCAAAATCATTTTCGAAACGGAATACAATATATATCAACTCAAAAACCATAGAGAGAAGTCAACTTCAAAGACACATTCACACTCTCAAAGGAAGAGGGAAATCAACATCCCTACGACAACAACAAGACAAGAATACCAACCGCAACCAATACAACTCGAGATGTATTCTACTAATCACAAAGTAGAATACATCCAGACATGCTCATTAGCAAAGAATAGACATACACACATTGGTAACTACATGCCACAGTGACAACTACATGTCACAAGATTCACAGTTCCAACCTTATGCCCTATTCCAACCTTATGGCTACCCCGGCCTTATTTCAGTTCCAACCATTACCTCCTAGTGCCACCCTGTACTTCTGAGTCCAACCTTATACCGCCAGGGACCGTCGTCCCCCCTCCGACAATCTCCAACAAAGTCTCCGACATATGAGTACACGAGGGTACCATTCATTTCATTCACATAATCTCCAACATATAAGCCTATGCTCAGGTCACACCACCAATTTCAATCATGGCCACACGAGGACCGCATCATTATCAGGAAAACTAAGGCCCCATAAACCTTAGTCATGCTTCCGTCAAATGGTACAACGTTTACATACGTTCACATCATAGGAATCAATCAATGGATCACAATAAAGATATGAAACCATACTCAACAACGAAGGATTACAATCCGACACCAATCAATGGTCAACACAAGTTGCCACTCTCAATAGGAAAGAACAAACTGCACACACTAGCATTTCAACATCAAACTAGCATGCTTATCAAACGGGTAAATCAAAAGTAGTTCCATAGAACATACAAGACTCAACATCAATCCAACGAATCACAAAGTTGGACCACAAGCACGATTCAGGACACCAAATCCTACATGGATTCCTAACATACCGTTCTAGACATACGAAACATCAAGAAGACACTCAAATCGCCCAATAAAACAACATCGGGAGGTCAAAACATCAATACCAAGTCAAAAGAATCACGGAGAACAAATCCCCGACACAACCCATATGTGTTCCCTGCGGCTGGGGCCACGGGTGGACCTCCGCCCGTGGTTCCGCCCGCGGGTACCAAGCCCACGACCACCTGTTCCTTGCGGGGGGTGGGGGGGGGGGGGAGGGAAGGGGCGGCGGGTGGAGCTCTGCCTGCCGTTCCGCCCTCGAGTACCAACCTGCACATCAAATAATCCCTTCGGGGATTTTCATCAACAAGTCCAAATTCAAGTCCAAAACACCCAAAATCTCACACAATACAACAATATGACTTGAACCCCAAGAAATAGCCAAGCAATGGCATACAAGAACCCTAAGAACAAGCTCTAAACATGCATTACCACAAGACAATGTATCAAATCTCACATTTCAACACAAGAATCACAAGTAGAAGCCAAGAAATCATCATATAAGTAAGAAAATAGGTTTTGTAAAGCATGGGTTACCTTTGTAGCCTAGAACTTCACTTTCTCACCCTTAAAAAGCTTCTCCTAAAGCTCTTCTTCAACACCAACTTCATAAACATACCAAAAGACAACAAAGATTCTATTTTTAGAAAAAGACAACTAAAAGGATGCTAAAACACCAAGAGATCAAGGATCTTACCCTCCCCTATGCTCAAGATTAGGAAAGTATGAATCTTGGAAGACAACTTGTAGGATTTAGGATGCCCAAATTTTGGCTTGGAGAATAAGCTACCAAATTTCTAGAGAGAAGGTAGAGGTTTTGTGTTTAGAGTGTTGGTGGATGAAATGAAAAGATGATGCTAGGTTAGCTTGGAGCACAAACTTAAGGTAGAAAGGCACCTTTGCCCTTACTAAAGTTGGAAGAATAAGGAGACAAGGGGACAATTCAACAAGCATAAAGTACAACCCTTTGACCTTGGTTGACTAGTCCAATTCTAGTCCTCCGACTATTGAATTTTCAGGATTTTAAGAATAAATTAACAATAAGACTAGGATTAATTCTCTAATTAATCCTTAATTAGAGTTTGGATTTACGAGATGTCACACTTTTGTTGGTTACTGTACTGTTTATTTTTACTTAAATTTACATTTTTAGTATTATCAGAACTATATAGAACCTGACATTTGAATTGACTCTTAGCCTAAAACGTGAGTGCACACAACTGCAAATTAAACAGCTTATATGTGCATAACGCAAATACACATAATGGTAATAGTGTGTATTCATCCGAAACATATCAAAATGCACACGATAGAGCATAAAAATGCATACATTGTACCACCATCGACGCAATGACATACGGAATAAATCAAAGTAAACCATTGCAATATATAAGTTCTGAGGTAAAACCCCCCAAAACAAAAAAATAAATGCATGCATGCATACATACATATAATATAATATATATATATATATATATATATATATATATATATATATATATATATAGTTTCAAATGAGAACTTATGCTATCATGTGAATTGAACTTTATGTGCTGATCTTGTTTAATCTTGTGGTTTATATCCGGTAAATATACATCATTGCACCACTGCACCGTTGCATCACTGCACTCCACACATCTCAACCGCCCAATCTAAGATCTGAATGGTGCATAGGGGTTCACAAGTTCACACCGCAAAAACATAGGTTCTCACTTAAAACAGGACCTATATATGAATAAATTGAAGGATGAAATCTTGGATTTTTCTATATGTAGATAGGCTTTCCATATATACACACAAAGGACTTGCCGTAAATGCTATTTTTTTTTAATACTAAATGTGCAAACCTGAAAAGTTTTGAGAATTGCATATTTTAGTATTCAAACATTGGAATTGAAATTTCTAATAATTTTATTTCTTCAAACCAAACAGTGCAATTTAAATTATCACTTTATTCCCACATTATTCATCTTCAATGGAATTGCAATTCCTTTCCCACATAATTCTCTTTCTCCAACCAAACGTCTTGTTATAATTGTTACATATATGACAATTACTTCAATGAATAATAGATTTGAGCAATTAAAGGTATTTAAAAAAAATGGATTCTTATATGATTCAAAAAAAAAATGAAGTCCTTGGATAATAATAAATTAAGATCGAGAATGTTATACTAATTTTGTAATTATTATTTTCTTATAACAATGTGTCGAATGT